CATGCCAGACTCCTCTTCCAGCTCCCCAGGTGGAAGTGGGATGTGTCGGAGCCTCACGCCCATCTGTCTCGGAGAGGGCAGGGCAGTGGGCCTCGGAGCCGGTCCTGCCCAGGGCCTCTGGAGCGCTCAGTGCTCAGAAGACCCCGTGGAGCCCCTGCTCCGCTCCCGTCTGCCGCGGAGCGGGAGCAGCGGCTCTTACCCTTTGGGGCCTGTGAGGCGGACCAAGATTGTGAAACTCAGCAGGGAGCGGGGGTTACAGGTGCCGCGTGCCCTGTGAGGCACACGGGGAAGTCAGGACTTGTCCCTGTCACCCTTGGCTCACATCTTTTTCTGAATCAAAGTTGCTACTTGACGTGGGTTTCCAGGATTTTTCTTCAAATCATTGAAACCTTGACTGTTACCAAAGTGGATCCGCTTTACCTGAAGAGGGTCTTTCCGACCCACGCACCCCGAGTGTATGTGCCGGGCGCTAGAAGAGCTTGGGGGACGGGGGGGGGGGGGGGCGCGGAGAGCCAGCATGGTGGTCGGTTGAAATTGCCAATATTTAACCACTGCTACCTCAGAGAGTTACGATTTTACTTATTGCGGCCTGTACGTTGGAGGGGCGCCCGTGAGCCGCCCTGCGGCGTGCGGCGTGGGCGCGCTTGCAGAGTGGGCGGGGAGCCACACTCGTGCCGGAGCCAGGAGGGCGGCCGGGAAAGGGTGACAGGGTGAGACGTGCGCTGGACCCCAGGGCAGACCGTGGGTGAGGCTGGGGCTGCGGCAAGACTTCCTTTAGACGAGCCTAGACTGATGCAGGCCAGCCCGCGGGTGCTGGCGGAAGCGGGGCGGCGTGCGGAGTCAGGAAATGCCGAGGCGGTGGGCTCAGTGGGAGCGGGCTCGCGGGGCGGGGCGGGGCGGGGGGCGGCAGGAGGGGCCCCTGGTTTCCGGTCCGTGTGACTGCGTGGTTAGACGGGGCCTGCCCTGAGGCAGGAGCGGAGGCAAGGCGAACAGCCGGGAAGACGCTGCTTCGGGTTTGGACAGATTTAGTCTCAGGAATCTGTGCCCCCTATTAGAGCGCGCCAGGCAGGTGGTTGGACAGACAGCCTGGAGCTTGCACACGTGGATAGTCAGAGTTAGCACATTCATTCATAAACATTTACTGAGTGTGAGGTACTGTTCTAGGTACCAGGGTCTCTGCTTTTCATTGCGATGGGGAAAGCTGTGCCCATTCCGATGAGCGCCTCCAGTGGCGGAATTAACAAGAGATGGGTAGAGAGTGACTGTAATGGAGGAGTAGGTGATGGGAGAATGACTTTGGGGAGCCAGGCCACCCTGGGAAATAAGGAGGGAAGAGTGTTCTGGGCAAAGAGAAGAGCAAGTGGAAAGGCCTTGAGGCAGAATGAGCCTAGCACCTTTGCGGACCTGAAGGGGGCGGGGGGGGGGGGGGGGGGCGAGCCCCAAGCACAGTGGGGGGCTGTTCTGGGTGTTCCGTGTGGACACAGGAGCTCGGGTGGGTGAGATCACTGGGAGTGTGTGCAGAGTGAAGACAGGACAGGACTCTTGATCCTTTTTGTTTTTAAATGTATCTATTTTATTGATTACGCTATTAGAATTGTCCCATTTTTCTTTCCCCTTTATTCCCTTCTGCCCTGCCCCCCGCCCCCCGCATGACCCACCCTGAGTTCATGTCCATGGGCAGTACGTAGAAGTCCTTTGGCTTCTCCATTTCCTATACTATTCTTAATCTCCTGCTGTGTATTTTGTACCTTCTGTTTATGCTTCTTATTCCCTGCACCTTTATTTGAAGGGCAGACCTACCTAAAAGGAGATGGAGAAGAAACAACCAGGAAAGTGGAAAAGAAAGAGAATGAGCAAAAGAAATATGAGGAAAGGGCATGAAAGATGCAGAGAATTACTAAGTGGCAGATGATGAACAGAGAGAGGGAAAGACTGAAAGTGTGGACTGTGTTTAGCAGCATGAAGATCATTGCTGGCCTTGGAGAAAGCAGTTCTCCCAAACCCTCCCTTCCTTCTACTCGCACATTCAATGTCCAGTCACCCTGACTGTTCCAGAGGATGGAAGCCACCTTGTGGTGGACTGACTTGCTGGCTCTGGGGGTCAGGGGAGCGTGTCGGACTGATAGGAGGGTGACAGAGGGGGGAGGAGGGAACGGGAATGCCCAGGGAGAAGGGGCAGGAAGCACTGGGTGGTGCCCCAGGTGGCTGACCGCAGGCAAGGAGCGCTGATGAGAGAGCCCCCTGCCCTAACCAGCCACCTCTGTGTGTTAACGCGGGGTGGAAGAGTATGGGCGTTGTCATTTGGGGGAGTTTGACCACAAAGCACACCGGAATTTCAGTGGTGGGTGGTGGAAGGCAGAGGGCGTGGAGGGGCTGTTACGGAAGCCTGGAGGGTCAAGCAGGGTGTCCGGATGCTGATTTGGTGTCCAGAAGGTGTGATAGCTCCAGCCCGATGGGGAGCAGCCTCGGTATCTTGGGGCCCCTCTCCCAGAAGAGAAGGTGGTGGGTGGCACAGGCTAGGGTGGGAGTCGGGCCCACAGGGTACGTGCACGCGAGACCAGCCGGGTGAGCATCAGGCCTGCAGTGCCCCTCGGCAGAGCTCCCCTGTGGAGGGAACGGGTACTGGTCGTGTTATCCCAGAGCTCCAGCCTCCCGGAAGCCTGGCACCACGAGGCCACTTGGTAGTTAGGACAAGGGCCCCAGAGCTGAGCACCCACAAGTACAGTACGCGGACAGCAAGCACGTGCATGTGTTCAGGGCAGCCGGTGTTTGTTCTTAATGTTACCTGTTCAGGCCATTTCCCCATCTCTTTTGTGAACTCTTGGAGATTAGGCTTTGCTCACATTGCTCTTTCTACAGTGCCCTGCCAATGCCCAGGGTTTAAACGTCTGCCACGACCACCACGTCTCGCAGTCCCCACGCCCACCCCGGTCATTCCAGTTTGCTGTTTTCCTTTGGCTAAACAATGGTTACTGCAAAAATAAGTTGTTGCTTTGGAACTTGTCTGCATCTGTTTGCATGTGGATATTGAAAGAGAGCGTGGTAGCTTTTATAAATGTTAGGGCCAAGAAGGGTTCTGTTTCTAGTTGGGGACAGTTGGCCAACTCGTAAGTCCCTTGACCTTTTAGGTGTCCATCTTCCTCCATAGGAAAATGGACCACTGGTCAGGTTTACAGACAGCCCAGACCTGACACTGAGGAACAAATGATTTTCCAACAAGACTATAATAGAAAGAATAAAAATGTAAGAAAAACTTGCAACTCATTTTGATTTCCTTCAGACAGGTGAAGTGGGTGTGAATTTACTGTCTTTTATAGGAAGGGTCCATTTTAGGAGTGTGGTTTCTTTCCCCTTCTCACCCCTAGGTGGCAGCAGGAAGCAGAGAGCAGAGGAACCGACACAAAAAGCAGAGTGTTCTTGAGCTGGGTCCTAGGATTGGTGTTTCGCTTATACCTCTACCCTACAGTTCCATTAATCAAACATTCCCAAGTTTTTCTGAGCTAATTTAGGTCCCCGGATATTGATTTAAAGACATACTGGGTTCTCCTCCATCCTAAGGGCTTTTAAGAGTGGGTGGGGGTTTGAGGGGAGGTCCCAGGGGACGATTTCAATAGAATAGTCATCAGCTGTCCAGGTGTGTCCTTTCAGGGTCGTGGTCTCCACTGATGGGTCGGTGCCAGGGCAGGGGGTCCTTAGTCAGTGCCCCTGGCCCTGAGGCCACCAGGGCCTCACTTTGTCCGGCTTCTGCCAGGAGCTGGAACGCAGCCGAGGCCTAGGTGTTACCCCTAGGGGTTAATGCCTGAGGGCGCGTCGGGCCAGGGCCACTCACGCGGCCGCGGTCCCTCCACTGCGGGTGCCTGACCACTAGCGTGAGCAGAGACGGGCCAGGGGAAAAGGCCGCCCTCGGAGCCGGGTCCTGGGTTTCCCGGCTTTGCCTGCTGCAGGGCACCGGGGTTTTCTGCCCTGGTGAGGTGACCTTCTGCACCTGGCTGTCATCCTTCTCTGCTCACGTCTGTCAACTGCCAGCCTCATAACAAGAGTAAACGTAGGAAACGAGCAGCCAGCGTCAGAAGCTGAGCGTCGGCACCTCTGTTAGTGGAGGAGCCCTGTCCTGACGGCCAGAAATGGGGCTGGGGAAGCAGTAGGCAGACAGTGCCTGCCCCCCTCCTCTCCCACTTCCTGAAATCCCTGCCCTTGCACGCTCAGGGTGCTTGCTGCTCTACTGCTTGCATAAGTCAGCCACTCGCCTTACTCTGTAGCCATGTCCCTGTGTGGTGCATACCCTGGAAGCCTGGGAGCCCATGAGGAGAGGAGACGGCCCTATTTGCCTTCGGAGTCCCCAGCGCTTGTCCCTGGCACAGAGCAGTCTCTTCCCATAAGGGCAGCTGAACAAACCTAGCTGAGGACAAGAGGAAACAAGAATATCAGTGCAGACAGACAGATCTGACTGTGTGGTCCGATGGTCTGGATAAGGAGGGGGCTTGTAAAGGTTGGTGACTGTGCGCAGGTGACAGGATGTTCACAGTTGGCAGGAAGAGAGTGGGACAAAAGCAGGAGAGAAGGGGTGGGGCAACAGGATGGGGCCTGGTGCTGGCGACCACTGCCAGGGCCCCTCAGCTGAGAGCAGCAGCCGCCCAGCTAAGCTTGCGGGGACACGAAGGGGTAAAAAGGCCAGGCCGGAGGGCCAGGGCTGACCTCAGGCGCAGCTTGATCCAGGACTCACATACGCCCTCAGAGCGTGCCCGTACCCTCTGCCTCCTCCTCCTCGGCTCCCCTCTCGGGCACACCCTTACACTGACCGACAGCACAGGCTTGCGTCCCGCTGAAGTCCGGGACTGACCCGTCAGCTGTGACTGGATCGCTTTCCCGCAGCTGAGCCCGTGGTCCTGACTCGGGCAAGGTCACAGGCCCTGAGGTGGAGAGGGGCCACCCGGGAGGGGACATGGGGCTGTTCCCAGAGTGGACTGAGCACACGAGTCACTCTTCTCCATGTTTTTCAGCATCTCCATGACACGGTGAAGAGGAGTCTCGATAACACTGCCTCCCCTCAGAATGGTGACCAGCAGAATGGCTATGGAGACCTCTTTTCTGGGCACAAGAAGACCCGCCGGGAGGCCCCCATGGGAGTAGGTGTCTCTTCCAACGGTCTGCCTCCAGCCTCCCCCCTCAGTCAGCCCGACGAGCCTGGCGCAGAGGCCCTGCAAGCCAGCGGGAAGCACCCCCTGGGGCTGGACTCCGTGAGCAAGAAGTGTCTGGCGGACTCAAGCCTCCACCTCAATGGAAGCGGCAACCCCGGCGAGTCGTTCCCTCTGAGCCTGAGTAAAGAGCTGAAGCAGGAGCCCGTCGATGACCTGCCGTGCATGATCGCAGGGGCCGGAGGCTCCATGTCCCAAAGCAACCTCATGCCTGACCTCAACCTTAACGAGCAGGAGTGGAAGGAGCTCATTGAGGAGCTGAACAGGTCAGTGCCCGATGAGGACATGAAAGACCTGTTCACTGAGGACTTCGAAGAGAAGAAGGACCCAGAGTCTTCTGGCTCTGCCACACAGCCTCCCTTGGCCCAGGACATTAATATTAAGACAGAATTCTCTCCAGCAGCCTTTGAACAAGAACAGTTAGGCTCTCCCCAAGTGAGGTCCTTTATGGGGCCTTCATCTGGGCCTGTGAGCACAGATTCCCCAAGCCTAGGGGGCTCTCAGCCTCTGTTCCACACTTCTGGTCAGCCCGGGGCAGACAACCCCAGTCCCAGCCTGATGCCGGCGTCAGCGCAGGCCCAGAATGCACAGAGGGCCATCTCCAGCGTGGCGCTGCCCAGCCAGGGCCCGGGAGGGGCCTCAAAGCTGTCCTCCGCCCACCAGCTCCAGCAGATCGCCGCCAAGCAGAAGCGCGACCAGATGCTCCAGAATTCTCAGCAGGCTGCTCAAGCACCGGCTCCAGGCCAGGTGTCCGCCTGGCAACAGACAGGCCCCTCCCACAGCCCCTTGAATGTTCCTTATGCCATGGAGAAGCCTGCCAGCCCCCCTGGCTACAAACAAGACTTCACCAACTCCAAACTACTCATGATGCCCAGTGTGAATAAGAGCACCCCTCATCCCGGAGGCCCCTACCTCCAGCCCAGCCATGTAAACCTGCTGAGTCACCAGCCGCCAAGTAACTTGAGCCAGAGCACCGTGACTAGCCAAGGGTCTGTGCTGGACTATGGCAATACCAAGCCCCTTTCTCATTACAAAGCTGACTGTGGGCAAGGTGGCCCTGGGGCGGGCCAGAGCAAGACGGCCCTGATGACATATCTCCCCCAGCAGCTGCCTCATCTGGGCAACGAGCAGAACTCCTTGTTTCTGATGAAACCAAAGCCAGGAAATATGCCCTTCCCTTCTCTGGTTCCTAACCAGGTGAGCCTGTGGCTTTGTGTTCTTACTCTGCACCCCTCTGGTTACCAGGTCCCACGTGGCTGGGAAACAAAGGGAGGGAGGGAGGGAGGGAGCAGCTGTGGTGGTTCTTTGATTCCTTGGGAGTGAAAATTGATCAAGCAAACCTGGGTTGAGTCTTAAACAAAAATAGGGTAAAATTCCTTTGGTTTTTTTTTACACGCTTTTGAGGAATCACCTGCACTTAGTCTCACATCTCGTTCATGCCACACAACTTAAGTAATTTGTGGCTGGATTTTGTAGGTAAAGATCAGACTTACTGTGCTTCCTAAGAGTTTTGCCTTTTTTGTTTTTGTTTTTTTTTTTACCACCTTTCAGATCTCTATGTTCAAAATACCTTAAGTTTTAGGCCCTGGCCAGGGAGCTCAGTTGGTTATAGCATCGTTTCAATGGCCCTAGGTTGCGGGTTCCATGTTCTGTCAGGGTACATATAAGAATCAACCAATGAATGCACAAGTACATGGAACAACAAATCAATGTGTCTCTCTCCCTCTCCCTCCTCCTTCCTCCCAAAAATCATTAAAAAACATACCTTAAGTTTTATTTGTTTAAAGACTTTATTTATTTATTTTTAGAGAGAGGGGAAAGGAGGGAGAAAGAGAGAGAAACATAAATGTATGGTTGCCTCTCGCACGCCCCCTAACAGAGACCTGGCCTGCAACCCAGGCATGTGCCCTGACTGGGAATCGAACTGCCGACCCTTTGCTTCACAGTTTGGCACTCAGTCCCCTGAGCCACACCAGCCAGGGCAAAACCTTAAGTTTTGGTAAGCTTATAACCTTCTAGGTGAGTGCTGCTTCCAACACATCTAAGTCCCATGGTTCTTTAGTTGTGATGCACAAGCCTAGCAGAATCATGGCTCTGCAGGTGGCCATGATTTACATAGCTGCTCTGCTCCCCTGCGTCTAAGATACCTCCTCCCTGGGAGACCCCCGATGGCTGGGCCTGAGGAGGTAACAGAACACCTCAGGCCTCCTCAGAGAGAGTGCGCAGCGTGCTTGCTTTGCTCCTTCCACCATGTGTCCTGTACTTTTTTTTTTTTTTTTTTTTGGATCCATTGGAACTTGTCTCCTGGTCTTTGCTACTCTAAGTAGTCTTTGGTGAATACCTTTGTGCGTACCTGCGTGTATTTGTAGCTGGTGATAGCATGAAGAAGTTGACACAGTCATGTAGTGGCAAAGGTGTATAAATGGGCACAGTGCTTTTTTAACATAATTTTGGCATTATGTGTTTTTCCTAAGCCATAAAAATATTCTTAAGCATTGACACATTATACCCCTGCAAGAAATAATGCCCCCAAAAGAGAAAGTTATATGTAGGATACTCATTGCATGGTTATATCTAATGCCCCCAAACTGGAAGCACTTTAAGCATCTTGCAACAGGAGCAAGCCTGCATGTGTAAATGTTGAAACTTTCGCTTATGCCAACCATTAAACTGCTGCACAGCCACGAAAAACCATCTTAAGAGTGGCCAGTGACGACTGCCATTTTAGGAGCACTTTGCACCTCACAGAGCACTCTGTAGCCCATGAGCTGCTGCTAAATGGGGTGAGGGGGTACATCAGAATCTGCTCTACGATTAGACTCCTGTAAAGATTAAATACACAAATGAATAAGGACCGCAGAGGAGCTTAAGAAGTTGAACTTGTTTAAGTGATAATTGCTTTTTGCCTTTTTCCTGCTTTGAGTTAAATTTTCCTCTTTCAAATGTAAGTAATGATATTGCGGTAACATTGTGGTAACCCTTGACATGACTCTCACTTTGGTGCACGTATTAATAGAAAATATGAGCATGAGGATCTGACAAAAGGCAAGCAGTCTCTCCCAGGAAACTGCCGTACACAAGTGGGCAAACAGCAATTTCAGGAGGTTCAAGAACAGCCCCGCCACCAAGAACTCAAGGCTTGCACACTCGGAACGTAGTGTGTCTCCATCACCCGGAGCCCCTCCGAGCGCTCCTTGGGGCTCTCCGTACTCAAGCATTCCAGGGAGCAAGGGCATAAAAGCTGCAGTTGCCTCCAGAAGCTGTTGGGTGCAAATGTGTCAACCTAAGTGTAAAACCACACCTTTGCCACTGGCAAATCGAAGGAAGCAAAGCCAGCCTGCTGCTTGTAACTGTTTGTCGCTGCACCTGGATGTGCGAGTGCTCACTCTGTTGGTGTCCGGTGCCGCCCTGGAGGTCGGCTGTACTTGGCGGCCTGGGCAGGGAGCCCGGATCTCCCTGGGTGGAGCTCACCTGCTCTGGTCAGGGCTTACAGACTTCTCCCTGTCCCACCTGACTCCAGACCCCCTTGTCTGTATTACCAGGAACAGAACCCTTCCAACGTCCCTGTGCCAGCCCAGGCCTCCAGCGTGGGGACCCAGCCGCCCACCGCGTCTGTGGCCAGCACTCCCAGCGGCGCCCCCTATCTCGGCAGCCAGCAGCAGGCAGCTGTCATGAAGCAGCATCAGTTGCTTTTGGATCAGCAGAAACAGAGGGAGCAGCAGCAAAAGCACTTGCAGCAACAGCAGTTCTTGCAAAGGCAGCAGCACCTTCTGGCAGAGCAGGTAAAGAGAAAGGTGGGAGAATGGCCACCCCGGCCCCCGCCCTGTGCCTCCAGGTCACCGCAGGGCCACGTGCTCCCCTGGGCCCGAGGTGACTGTGCACTCATTCCATGTTTGTGGGTAGTAGAGTGCTCTGCCCTTTTCAACCCTTTTCTGGGAGTGGTGTTTCTCACAGTGGTGACCCGTGTCAGAAGCAGCTTTATGTCACTTAATGAGGATTAATGAGGCCTAATGATGACAGTCTGTGGCTGAAACCCTACGTGTTAGAGACATTTTTCCATGTCCAAGCTCCCCAGTCCATCGATTTCACTTGGGACCCAGCTTGGTTGTAAGTGCAGAGTCCGTGACAGGCAGAGTGTGAGGCGGGGACACCGAGACCTGCCTGAGGCACTGTGGTTTGCAGGGACAGGGCCAGCAAGCCCCCCTAAGTGCTGCGGTTCGCCCACTCGCTCACCAAGTATGGTGTGCAGGTACCAAGGTTACAAGGCTTCGCAGGATTTTAAATCACATCCTGAAGACATAAAGGAGAACTAGCCATCCAGCAGTTCAGGTTGATGGTGACTTTAAAACCCATGTTACTGCTTCAGTTCTGCCTTTTTTTAAATGACAGCTTTATACATGACATTTGAATTGTTTCCCCCATTTAAAGTGACACCTAAAAAGGAGCCCTGTACCCATTAAAAGTTACTCCCCTCATCTTCCCAAGCCTAGGCATCCACCTGCCTACTTTTTGTGAACGTTTCATGTAAGTAGATTCAAGGTTCGGCCGTGTTGTGGCGCGTATCAGTACTTTCCTCCTTTTTATGGCTGAGTAATATTCTGTTGTGTGACTGTCACATTTTAATTCTCCATTTACCTGTTGATAGACAGTTGGGTTGTTTCCTGAACTTTTTGTGGACATAGGTTTTTAATTTTCTGAGTGTTTAATTCTTTACGGGTGGAATTGCTGGATCATATGGTAACTCCTACATTTAACCTTATGAAAAACAGGCTGTTTTACAAAACAGCCGCGCCATTTTACGTGCCCACAGAAGTGTATGGAGGTGCTGGTTTCTCCATGCCTTCGCCACGCCTGTTGTCTTTATTCAAGCTGTCCTGTGTGAAGCGGCACATCGTTGTGGCTTTAATTTGCACCTTCCTGATCTGCCCTCCCGTTTTCTTTTTTTTTTTTACGGGAAGGGAGGGAGAACACAAGGGAGAGAAACATCAATGTGTGGCTGCTGCATCTTGCATGCCCCCTACCGGGGACCTGGCCCACAACCTAGGCATGTGCCCTGACTGGGAATCGAACTGGCGACCTTTTGGTTCGCAGGCCGGCGCTCACTCCACTGAGCCCCACCAGCCAGGGCTGCCCTCCATTTTTTAAAAACCAATGCACCACTTTTCTTTTTTTAATATTGCTCCTTAACTCTGGCTCATACTTCTGCTTCATAATGTTTTGTTAAAAATCCCCAAAAAGAGATTGTGAGCATTATGTCCACAGGAGCCCATCTATGAGTAACAAGCTTGGACAGTTTTCTTTCAGCTCTGTTTGTTTGTCTTATGTGGGTCTGTGTTTGCTCTATTGGCATTTTAAGGAGAAGCAGCAGTTTCAGCGCCATCTGACCCGCCCACCACCCCAGTACCAAGACCCGACTCAGAGCACCTTCCCACAGCAAGTCGGCCAGTTCACAGGTGAGGGACGCCCGCAGCGGGGGCGGGGGCGGGGGCGGGGGCCGGCGGGTGCTGTGCGGGCGGCGGCACTCCGCTGTATGCTTCGGCCCGCCCAAGAGGCCTGTGGCGGCAGACCGCTTTGGCTGCATGCGTCGGCTGGGTCTCTGGCTGCACCATCCTATGAGCAGGAAATGGCTTCTGTAACTGTTAAGAAGGTTCTTTGCTTCAACAAAATGACCTCTCCCAGTTTCCAGATAAGGAGAGACTTCCTGCCTTCGAGTGGCCTTTGCTTCTTTGTTTTTCTTCCTGTCTGCTCACTTTGCTGTCACAGGTGGCAGCACCAGCCATGGACAGTTGGCCAAGAAAGGGCGGGAGGCACTCAGGGGTCTCAACTGTCACGTGTCAGACATGCGAAGGAATCTGGCGGCCATTGCTTGGGCTTCTGCTCCAGAAATACAGAGAGGTGCCAGTTGACGGGTGCAGAAAAGTGTGGTCGGCTCTTCCTGGAGCGTCTTCAGAACCTGTCCTTTCCTTGGTCAGTGACTCTCACTGTAAAGTGTCCCAGAGGAACTGACCACAGCTGTGCACCCTGGAAGAGGCCTTGGGGGAGTTCTGTGTGCGTGCTGACCAGGACCGAGGGGCCGAAGTCAGCGGGCGTCTCCGAAGCCTGGGCCTCAGCTGTCTCTCCTGCTCTCGTCCCCTCTGATGTTGCCGTGGGCTCTCGGTGGGAGGGGAATTGGCTGTTTCTTTTCCTCACCCCAGTGGTTAGGTGAGTGCCAGTGGGGAGAGCGAGAGGAGAAACAAAGCGCACAGCTGAGGCCGGCCCTGGGCAGCGGCTCTGCTGCCGCAGACACTCGCTCCGCCGCGCTGCCACCCTGCAGCCGCCGCTCGAGGCAGAGCCCCAGAGCGCCAGCTCCCTGGGCACAGGGCCTCTGGTCCGATGCCTCCCTGTTTTCCCAGCACAGCACCCGCCACAGAGCAGGCGCTCGCAGATTCCCACGGGTTGCAGTCGGGGCAGTCCCCTCCGAGGGCGGCACTGAGCGGTGGTGACGGCTGCCGCAGGCTGGTCCCTCTGAGGGCGGCAGCCCTTCTGGTCGGGCTGGGGCAGCTCTTCAGTGTTGTCTCTGACCAGCTAGTGCTTTCCCCACACCCAGCCACGAGTCCCCCACATGGACCACCTTTCATAACTCTGTACACACTCTTCTCTATCCAGAATCCTGCTGCTCCAAACTGTTAAACAGCTTGGCCTCTACCCTTCTAATCCTGATGGGTTTGTCCCCATTTTTCTGAAGCCTCCCAGGCCTCGTGCCTCCGTTCCCTGTCCCCCGAGCCTGCTGCCCGGCCTGGCTGCCGCCCTGCCGTGGCATGTGGCGTCTGCACCCCCGCAGACAGCCCTGGGTGGGCTCCGTGGAGCCCAGCGCCAGCGTCAGGTCTGCACAGGCAGAGGTAGGTGTGCCTTGGAAGGGGACCAGTGAAGGCCACTGGTTGCCCCTCTGCGGGCTTTGCCCAGCCCCCGCCTCTGTCTTCCTCTCCTCTGACAGGTTGCCCTGGGCCCCAGGAGCACCTTGTCTGGGGCCCCACCGACTGCGAGGTGCCTAGTGCTCCGATTCGGCCATCAGTGCCCATAGGGTGGCGGCTGTGCCTCGGCTCTGGGAGGCGTCTCCAGAGTGGTGGCCAAGAAGTGCCAGCTTGATTGACAGGATCTTCTCTGTCTTCCAGGGTCTTCCGCTGCAGTGCCAGGCATGAGCAGCCTGGGCCCGTCCAGCTCCAGCTGTCCCCGAGGGTTCCCTCCGGCCGGGACTCTGATGCCGATGGGCCCGGGACACGCTTCCGTGTCCTCTCTCTCCTCCAACTCAGGCCAGCAGGACCGCGCTGTGGTCCAGTTCCCAGGCTCCCAGGGCAGCCTCTACGGCATGGCCTCCAGCATCGCCCAGATGGCCGCCCCGCCCCCATCACAGGCCACCAACGGGCACGCCCACACTCCTCGGCAGACCGGCATGGGCCAGAACCCCGCGGTCTCAGCAGCCTATGGGCAGAACTCTCTGGGGAACTCTGGCCTCTCCCAACAGCACAATAAGGGGACCCTGAACTCTGGTTTAACTAAGCCACAGGTCCCGAGGGTGCCAGCGGCCATGGGAGGCCAGAATCCCTCCTGGCAACATCAGGGAATGCCCAACCTGAGTGGCCAGGCCCCAGGGGGCACGGCCGTCAGCCCCTTCACTGCAGCCCCCAGTTTCCACGTGCAGCAGGCCCACCTGAAGATGTCCGGCCCGCGGTTCCCCCAGGCAGCGCCCAGCAGGCCCATGGCCCCCGTGAGCTCGGCGGCCTCGGTGGGGCCCATGTTGCCTCCTGTGAGTGCGCAGCAGAGGACCGGCGCCACCGCCCCGGCACCTCCCCAGGGAGCCCCGCAGCAGGGCTTGCCGGGCCTGAGCCCTGGCGGGCCTGAGCTGGGGGCCTTCAGCCAGAGCCCCGCCCCGCCCATGGGCGGCCGGGCAGGGCTGCACTGCGCGCAAGCCTACCCTGTGCGGACCTCAGGCCCGGAGCTGCCCTTTGCCTACAGCGGGCAGCCAGGCAGCAGCGGGCTGGCCAGCATGGCTGGGGACGCCGACCTGATCGACTCCTTGCTGAAGAACAGGACTTCGGAGGAGTGGATGAACGATTTGGATGACCTTTTGGGGCCTCAATAATGGCAGGATTTGTGGTGTTTTCAGTGTTCCTACATCCTGTATTTTTGTTCTCATATTCAACAATGAGAAACTGTTTGGACCAAAAGCCCACGGCCCAGGTCCTGGGTGGGCAGAGCAGAGCCCGGGGCTGAGGTCCCACCTGGCTGGGGCCTGCGGAGCCTCTGCTCCAGCCCAGCGGTGTGGTCTGTTAGGCTGGCCCCAGACCATCTGCCGGCATCATCGCGTGCTGTGGGGACAGCGGGCAGGGTTTCACAAGTGGTTTTCTGTCCAAATGACCAAAAGCCAACAGGTGAAACAGTGCAGCCCCACAGTGTCCGGCTGGTGAGCGCCTGTGCCATCGTGTTGGCTTAACCCAGGATTTCTCCACATGCCCCACTTCAGGGAGCGGTTCTTGTTGGAACTTTATATAGCAGAACTATTTGCAATCTGTAGTGTAGAAAAGATTAAGTTTTAAAAAGGTTTTAAAGCAGGATAGGTGGTGGTTTAAGTTGATTAAGTGGCATTGGGAACCTAGGGCTTCCTTGAAGGGCCTTTTGTATTTGGGCTCTGTCAGCTTTCAGGAGAAAGGGAGGTCACTGGAAAAGCCTTTCCGTCAGTGCAGCTGGTGGCGGCTGCGCAGTGGGAAAGGCACAGGGTGCCATGAAGGCGGCAGAGCTGGTGACAGGCGTGGTCTGGCCAGCAGCCTTCCCTCCAGGATGCTGTCCTTCCCGGCGGGCACTTGCGAGGATGCTGGCGGAGGAGCCCCTCCGCCCAGGCGCAGGTAGCAGGCCCCAGGCCGCCCCCAGGCTAAATGCGGAAATGGAGCATTTGGGGTTCCTGGGTCCCCTTTGGCTGTGAGTCCCCGCCCTCTGCAGTGAGCTGTGCTGACAGTGCGGGTGTGATGGGCTCGAAGGGGCGCACCGGCCAGGTGTGCACAAAGGTCTTTCCTTCGCCCCGTCTTTTCCGATGACCTTTTTTCTGCCTCCCCTTTTTTACTCTGCAGCCCGACTGGAAAACCTCTTTGGGGCAATGATTTACTAAGTGGGCGGGGGAAAGAATGACTCATTACAACTCCCTAGGGAGACCTCGCATCGTAGGGAGGAGGAGCCGGCGCCCTGTTTGGCAGGGCGTGCCCGTAGCACGCCCGGCCAGACGGAGGGTTCGGCTTTGTTTTTACTCTTGCCACTCCCACGTCAAATGACTTGCACTTTTTAAAGAGAATTGCTTTATAACACTAATACATCCTTTTTAAAGATCCAGGTGGATTTCTCTTTTTAAGGTCTATGAATTAATGGACTTAACTAAGCTGAGAGTCCACAGAACGTAAGTATTACCTGGGGGCCGTCTGTGGAGGAGGAAGATGGCACGAGCGCTCCGTGTGAAGGAAGCGGGACGGCGAGCACAGCGCGAGCCCCTTGCCCACTCAGTGGGAAGAAAAGGGTCCCCGATGCGCGTGGTCTCAAGAGAGACCACCATGGTCTACTCAAGGAGTGTCCTGTGGAAAGGGCTGAGCCGAGGAGACGGGCCCCACGGGCAGCCGGAGTGGCTTGGGCGCAGGGACGGGGGGCTGGACACGCGTCGGTGACGCTCTGCACCTACAGTGCCTTGGTGAGGGCCCAGCCCTCGCCCCTCTTCTCTCAGAGCCATTCCCCCAGCCCTCCTTCCCTGCCTGTCCGGATGCTGGGTTTAGCTCTCGAGGAAGGGAGTGAATCCTGGAGCCAGTGAAGCCACCGCCCTCTTGAGCGAGCTCCCCAGTGTGGAGGGGAGGAGGGTGACTTCAGCAGGTTTCTACCAAAAAAGGCGGGCTGACCGCTAGTGACGGGCCCTTGTCCCTCTCTGGTCTCTCTCTGGCGGTTGCTCACCTCTGTCCCCAGGGCACCCTGCCTCCCTCTTGGGGAGGCTGCCCCCGCCTTAGTCCCCCTTAGTCCTGGGCCACCTAGACAGACAGACGGGCTTTTCGCCTGCTGTCGTGTCAGAGCAATAAAATGTGATGCTTGGGGTCCCCCCAGGGAGCTGCCCGTGGCTTTATGTATGACCCGGGTGATGGGGTGGTCAGAGGAAGGAACGCCACTTCAGCGCGACCCCCATCTGCCGGGAGCCATGACTCAAAAGGGTGCTGGGACTTTTGTTACACACATTTGCTTTGTGTAAATAAATGTTTACAATTTTATATTAAAGATGGAGTAAGCGTTAGAGCTCCTGACTGTATATTTTTTACTTTTATAGATTTTAAAACTATGATCCTTTATATATGTTTGGTGGAGCTATGATAAGTTTTATGGCAAACAGTTGGTATTGTTAACTTTTTATTGTCATCAAAGTACATAAAAATCCTATTAATCCCCTTATTCTTCTACTTCCCTTAACTCTGGTATACACCAAAAAGAACCCCTGACTTCCCTGTTTTATCATTATGAAATAAAAGTATTTTGCTAGCACAGAAACTGCCGTGGACTGACTTCCCAGGCCGCGCTGCAGGGCGGGGGGTGGGCTGCAGCTGCTTGGCTTGGTCATGGGTTTTCTTCTGAGATGCGGCACTGGGGGTGACAGGAAATCAGAGCTGACACCACTCAGGGCCCTCGGGCTCCCTCCCTGGGGCTTGTCCATGTCCCCAGGCCTCCAGTGGGGGAAGTTGGACCAGAGAAGTCAAATGTTTCACAGTCACACCTTCTAGATACCGCAGGTGTGCAGAGAGTCACACTGGGTCTCCGCGCGCATATAAAAGCCATATTCACAAACTTACAAAAGTTTACACTATGGTCTTAGTGTGCAGCCACATTATGTCTAAAACTATGTACATACCTTAATTTTAAAAAGGTTTATTGCAAAAGAAAAAAATTTAAACACTAGGTTGCTAAAAAATGCAAACTCAGCTTCAGCATCTTTTTTGCTTGGGGAGGTTTTGTCTCGGTACTGAGGGATCAGGGTGGCAAGTCCTTAAAATAAGACAACAGTGACCTCTGCTGCATCGAGTGCCTCTTCCTCATGAATTTCTCTGTAGCACGAGATGCTGTGTGACAGCAACTTACTCAGAGTAGAACTTTTTTCAAAACTGGAGTCCTGCAACCCTGCTGCTTCCACCTCTCCAGCGTCCTTACTCAGTCTTCACAGAATCGAAGAGCCAGGGCCTTCTCTGGATTCGGCTTTGGCTCAGGGGAGTGTTGTGGCTGGTTTGCGCTTCCATGCAGAGCGCGAACGCTGCCCTGGCCGGGGTGCTCCGCGGGCTGGAGCACCGTCCGGATGGGCCAAGCTTGCGGGTTCCCTCCAGGCCAGGGCACGCACGGTCAGCCGATGAATGCAGAGATGTATGCGACAACAAATCCACATTTCTCTGTCTCCCTTTCACTCGCTTTCCTCTCCTTTCTGTAAAATCAGTAAGTAAAGATTATCTGAAGATGACAAACTTTCTCCGTATCAACAGTGAGGGTTTCACCTTGCTCTGTGGCCACTGGAGCAGCACTTTAAACTTCCCGACAGCCCCCCGCTCTCAGCACACAGCCCGGCCGGCCTGAGAGGCCCGGAGCTCAGCCTGCCTCAGCTTCGACAGGCCTTCCTCACTTGGTGTAAGTGTTTTTGGCTTTTGATTTCAAATGAGAGGCTTCCTTTCACTTGAAAACTTAGAGGCCATGGTATGATTTTTATTTTGTTTTTAAAGATTTTATTTATTTTTAGAGAGGGGAAAAGAGGGAGAATGAGAGGAAGAGAGACATCATTGTGTGGTTGTGCGTCGCGCGCCCCCAACTGGGGACCTGGTCTGTGGCCCAGGCCTGTGCCCTGACCCGGAACCGAACCGACGAGCTTTGGATTCGCAGGCCGGCGCCCAGTCCACTGAGCCATGCCCGCCGGGGCCTTTGTGTGATTTTTAATTGGCCTGATTGTAATACTGTGTCTCAGGGATGGTCACCCTCACCAGTGCGAACAAGTACAAATTGGAACAAAAGTGAGATCACTCGCTGGCCGGGTTAGCGGGGAGGACGTCCCGTTGCTGGCTGTGGTGTGGTGAGGCAGGCTGCAATACAGCTCTCTGTGGGAAGAAATTGTGCAAAAGGTATCACGTTCCGTAAGACGTTCATGCCGCCTGTCCACCCCAGCAGTCGCAGTTCTGAGAAGCCACTCTTGCTTGCCATCTAGCTGCGAGGCGGGGGCGGGCCTGGCAGTGTCAGAGCAACACTGACTGCGGAAAGCGGGACAGCCTCGGTGGCCATGGGGCTTGGCCGGGTACTTCGCTTGATGAGATACACGCACGTATTTTAAGCGTTTTGTAAAGGTTTGGAACGTAGAAACTTGGAATGATGGTTTTGTTGGGCTTCTTGTATTGCAAGCCAATAGAAAAGAAACCTGGCTAATAAAACCTCCCCCAACACCCTGTGCCCACTCGCTCGTAAAGTTACCACGCAACTCCCATAATGAAGAGGCACAGAGCCGGCTGGCCTCAGAGTGGCAAAAGCCAAGCAGTTCCCAACCTCGAAGCTCTGCCACCATCCTGTGTCTGTCGCAGATCACCAGCCAAGCGTTGGGGGCGAGGGAGGGGGTGCTGCCAGGCATAGTTTACTGGGCACACGTTTATGGAGCGGCCGCTGTGCCCAGGTGGTGGCCTCCAGGCGGGGGCCTTCTACCTGGGGTTCATGTCTCTTGGGAAGGACCCTCACAAGTGGGTCAGCAAGGCGACTTCAGAGCAGTGAGTCTTGGGAGAAAGCAAAGCAGAGCAAGAAGACAGCGCGAGGGCAGCGAGGGTGAGAGGAGGCCCGATCAACGTTCAGTTCGGTCGCCAGGGCAGGCGCCTTAAAGGAGACATTTCACTGGAAAGGAGCCACCTGGAGCTCTGAGGGCAGAGCTGTCAACCAGCCACGTGGATGACGCGAGTTCCCCCACGGAAGGGCGGCCTACTTGTTAGCAGGAGGAAGGGATGCTCAGACAGCAAAGTTAACAGCTGCTGATGCCAGTGTTACAGGCGTGGGGCGTCGTACTGCCGCCCAGAGCAGGGGAGCGGGCCCGCCCCGCCCCGCTCCTCCCGGGCGGGCGGCACTGCCCTGGGAGCCGCCCAAGTCCCTGTCTGTGTCGTTGGCAGCGTTGTCAACAGGGCAGCCTGAACACCGAGCTGCACACCAGAAAGTAATATAAAATAGTATTGAATGTCAACTGTAATTGACAAATGGGGGGGCAGCCTGAAGGCCAGTCCTCTGGTGAGCACCTGGAAGTGGCAAAGTGGCTGTAGAGCCATGGAAACACGCAATGCGGTGGCCGCCTGTGAACGTGGCAGCTCGTGGCTGAACTCGGCCAGAAGCTGCAGGCGCTGCGGCCAGCACCTCGGAGGGCGGGCAGTGTTGGAAACAGCATGTGGAGTGCATCTGCCTGGCTGGCTCTCTCCCCTTTGGTCTTCAAGCTGGCAATGCACCTGCTGCTTTGCAGATTGGCCGTGCTAACAGTTCAAAGATAATTTGCTCTCCAAGTGGCTGCAATTACGTGGGCCGCAGACTCGTCGGTGCACGCAGGCCTCTTCTTGAAGTTTTGGAAAAACAGCCTCAGACCCTCCCCTCCTGTGGAAACCTGTGTGGCAAGGACAGCACTCACAGATCAACCCCCTCATGTCCTGGGATGCAGTCTCTGAGGGGTGACCTGCCTGCTACAAAAACACAAGATAGTAAATACGCAGCTGCCCTGGGGGCCTGAGGGGCTGGTTTCTCCGTTCAGTCCAATGTGGCCGAGGCTGCAGACCGCCCCACCGGGGGCTGCCCTGAGCACGTGCTCCCGGAAGCGTGGTGAGAAGCAGGGACAGCTGTGCGAGGACACGGAGCTGTTAGGGCGCGCGTGGAGTCCCTGCAGCAGGCTCTATCTGTTGCTGGACCTGGAGCGCAGAGCTGCCCCAGGCTGCAGGAGGAAGGCGGGCCTGTGTTCCTGGCGAGGCAGGAGGGCTCTTGCCGCACCATGTGCGCGGCCTCCTCGCGGCGGACACAGCCGACCCTCACCACCAGTGCTTAGGGTCTAGGCTTGTTCTTTGCATCCCTAAGTGCTCAGCTTCTTTTCCTACTAGCATGGCAGAGCCCTGCCACGCACAGTCGCCATCGAAGTCAAGAGCTGCAGAAACCACCGTGCCACCTCCCATCATGTCTCCCTCAGAGCTGGAGGCGCAGGGAGCCCCAGCCCCCAGCGGTCACACCGTGGTTCTTGAACGTCTCCCACCTCAAACAATTTGGTTCTCGACCAAGGCGTTCATGGAAAACATGTCTCTTGTTGTTGGACAAAACCTCATTTCTCGACCTGAGAACGCTTTCTTTTCTTTTTTAGAAAGATTTTATTTATTTTTTAGAGAGAGAGAGGAAGGGAGAAAGAGAGGGAGAGAAACATTGATGTGAGAGAGATGAGAGATGTGAGATATGAGTGAGAGATGTGAGAGACATCGATTGCTTGCCTCTCCCACGCCCTCAACGGGGGACCTGGCCCACAACCCGGGCGTGTGCCCTGACTGGGAATCAAACCGGCGACCTTTCAGGTCACAACAGGCCGGTGCTCAATCCACTGAGCCACACCAGCCATGGTAACCTGTCAACCCTTTCATACTGATATGTAGGAAAAAAATGATTCAGTTTTTCAAACAAAATTATTAGTCTCATCCCCTATGCCATTTCTTCTTTTTTGATACTTGTTCTCATAGTAAAGGATGCTTTTCTTAAGCTGCAGCTCCCTCTCGCCCCTCCGCCCCTTCGAAGCTGTCCGGCCCCGCCCCGTTGGCCCTGTGTTCGCCGCCCTGCGCTGCCCCGCGCGGTGCCGCTCCTGGCGCTCTAGGACGACTAGTGCAGGAGAACGGGGCTGTCGGGGCCCCCGTCCCGTCACAGACGCAGCGTGAGCCCAGCTGCCCCTGCAGGCCCAGGGGCTCCTTCCCCCAAACGCCAAGAATGCCGGCTGTGCTGGCTCACAGCGGAGGCTTCCTGGGGCCGGCCTTCAGCGAAAGGCAGCTGCCGTGCCCAGGGACAGCCCACATCTGGAGACTGGTCAGTATGGGGCTGCAAGAGACGTGGGGCCTCTCCAGAGGTCCCTGGGATTGCCTGAGGCCTCTGTGCAACCACATCTCAGTTCAGCTCCCCTTTGCCCGGTCCACCTGCCCTTGTTTACTTCCAGGCAGTGTAACCACTGTGCTGATCCCCGACCCAGAGCCGCCGCTGGGGAGCCAGTCCTGCAGGGGAAGGGCCGTGGCCTGGCTGTGCAATGCAGGCCAGCCCACAGGGCCAGGCCCACAGCGAGCTGGAGCGGGCAGGCAGGGCGGGGGTGCACAGCCGGCAGGGGGCCGGCCTCTCCTCCCAACCAGAAGGGACCAGCTGTGCACGGGGCCTTGGCGATGGCCACTGGAAGCTGCCCAAGGCAAAGTCACAAAACAGTGCCCCCTTTGCAGACAGCAGGCTGTTGTCAGACTCAGAACCCCTGGGCCGAAGGCAAGG